TCACTTCGCGATGGTAGCGACATTTCTCCAGAGAAATGACCACCTTCCCAAACTTTTTTCTTACTCTAATCTAGCATATCCTGTTCCTCTGTGGAGATCGAAACCATAGAGGTGGTGGCGTCGGAGAATGTGTTTACTAGTATGTTTACTCTCCTGCTCTGCTTTGTTTTTTTAACCTTTTTGGTTAAGCTCTACTTTCTCATTGGAAAAAGATTATCCTCCCTATACTCATTATCTTTGATCTAAGTTTTGTTAAAAAAATTAATGAAATATTTATGATTTATTTTTAAAAGTACCATTGTCTCTTTCATATGTAGCTTGATTAAATGGCTTAGAGAGTTATTTTTGAAGGTTGTAAAATTTTTTGACATTCAACTCATTTTAACTAATATTTTTGATCTTAGAGAGGTAGTAAGTAACAAGGATTATAGAAAGGACAGTGGCAAAAATACTTCCCTTAGAACTTTCTATAACGGCCTTTAAATTTTAAACTTCTATGAATTTGTTGTAGGGTACAATTTCCTCTCTTTTTATATATAAAATATTTTCTAAAAATTTATCTTATCCCATATAAAGAGTGTCATGAGATTTTTGATTAATTAAATAATTTTGCCACTATCTTGAAAATCGGAAGAGATATTAATTGTGTATTTTATTACTTGTCACTATGATATTTATTATAACATTATTAATTGCAAAATTGAAAAATCATTGTGGTTTGTTTTCAACTAAATAATAAATTTTTATTGGTAAACAAAATTTGATTAAAAACATCTTATATATGGGAGATAGAGAGAGTATGATATACTCCATCTGAACCACGATATACATTATTGATAATTAATTCATGGTTCTTGAAAAATATTAGTTAAAATCTTATCCCTCATTATCTAAATACTTCCTTTGGTTCTATTTATAGGGCAGAGAGAGAAGGCTTTTTTATCTTATTTATCAGTCATGTCATTAAATTTTTATCACAAATTTCTTCTTTCACCCTCCATTGAATATTGGAGAGATAAAATATTTTATTGAAGTATGTATATTTAATAGGGTAAAGTTCAAAATTTATTAGATTTTAAAACAGAGTTAATGAGTTTTAAGGTTTTTTTTGATATTGATAAAATATGTTGGAAGTAACTTATAAATAACAAGACTAGAGGAGTATAAGAGAAAAAATTGTATAACACAGTTTAAAAAATTAGTTAACTATAATAATTATATTTGAAAATAAATAAATTAAACTGAAATATCCTATGTTAATCAACATAAGGATTCATTAGTTGTTTCCTATTAATGTAAATTATGAGGGATAATTTAAAAAAATTGTAATAAATATTTATTAAGATATGTGATTATACTTATTAAAAACAAATCAAAAGTAATAGTTTCTCTAACAAATAAAACAAAGTGAGTAATTTCTTAAAAAATATATTTTTTTCAATCATACCTTCATTAAATTATAAAATTTACCCAGAACATCACTCCACATAATTAGAGAGCATCAGAACTCAATAATATAGCTTCCTACCTTACCCTTTTCAGAAATTCAAAGGAGATAAATAGCCATTGTTGCTCCTTTTTATCAAAAAAGAAAGAGGAGGGGGCAGGGGGAGCCATTGTTGTTGCGTTGCTTTTCCCAGAATATGCAGCATCTGCACATAAAGCATTATCCTCACCTGTAAATCTAAAATTTTCATATGCAAGCATCATATTCATGGCTTTGGTTCTAATCCCCAAATCCTTAAGGCATTGTTTGGTTGGGGGAGGGGAGGGGAGGGGAAGGGAGGGGAAATATTAAAATTTTCCCTCCCCTCCCCTCCAAAACCTCCCCCCAATTTAAGGGGATGCCCTCTTCCCTCCTCCTCCTCTCTCCTTCCCTTCCCTCCCTTCCCCTCCATCCCCTCCCCTCCCCTTGAACCAAACAGAGCCTAAAGCTCTATTTGGAGGAACTATCTTTTTCCTAATGCTAACCATGACCTTAAGTTTCACGCCCTTTATTGTTTTTCTTTTTTTAACGTTTCATATATATTCCCTGCCTAATTCTTAAAAGCATCATTGAGATCATTAGAAGAATGCATCTGGATTCACTTAGGGTAATAAATCTACTTATCTCATAAGTATTTGATGTGACATAATCATAATCATTTGAATCAACTGAATAGTTGTTAAAATTTTTGTTACATGATATTTAAAAATCACCAAACCTTAAAATATTGTTAATTTATAAGTGATATTGATAAATTAATAAGTTAAGTAAGAAAATTAATTATCAGTGATTCCGTATAATAAATGAATGGTACTTTAATCTTTTTACTGTTGAAATTATTTTTACTTTTATTTCTATAGATTGAATTAAAATTTTAGATTTTTTAGATCCGCTAATAATTAATACTTCCTTTAAAAGAGATCGAAATGTCAATCATTCCAACTGAGAGCTAACATCCAATTAGGAATGGTATTCTAGAAGTGAATGTCAAGTATTGAAGTATTTGACAACGTAAAGAAAAGTTCATTAGGAAGCTATTGATAATGATTTATCATGTTTGTATTTGTCTTTCTACTTATTTTAAAATCTCACACAGTGTTAGTGCATTTCCATGAAATTAGCGGCTAGATTTCCGTTTTGCTTCTACTAAAGGATCATCTTCTTGCTAAAGCTAAAACTAAAAGTAAAGAGGATTGAATGACTAATATAGATAATAAAACACCTAAACTATTTTCTCAAGCCCAGGAAAAACTTAGGGCTTCTCTATTCGTTATTACAAACTACAAAGTGGTAGCATTCACATATTATCTATCAAAATATTTATGAAAGAACAAAAGAAGGATGAAATGGTTATTACATCACAAGCCATTGTGAGAGGTTTGCTTGTGAGTGTTGGGATCATGATAGACATCGTGATCAATTGAGGACATTTGTTTATAAATAGAGAAGGAGCTACTATTTCTAGGGTGGTAGGCTGAGATTTTCTTCCCTTTTCCCTCATAAATCACTGCATCCTCCTCATCAGGAACACATTTATCCCCCAAGATTATTGTTTTCATCCATACAGATTCCTCTGCTTTCAGCTTCTCTTTCTTTTGTCCATCCTCCTTTGGATCATTGTTTTTGGCCACTGATAAACTTCTAGGCACCTTCAAGCTTAAGCTAAAAGATAATCTGCATTCCGAACTAGCTTTCTTCATGTTACTAGTAGATCTAGACTCCTTGTGTTGCTGCATTCTAGATGGAGGATGTAATTCCTTACTCTGTGTTTCATCATCCAGATTTTCCACTTCGTTAATATGAGTTAATTTAGCATCGGAACCTTTGGTTGTGTGTAGATGATCAGACAGTGGAGGAGATGAGGGTTTCTTTCGAGATCGAACACCGCACAGTACAGTGATAATTACAATGCTCACGGCTAAGGTCGCTGTAAGGAATGAGAAATACAGAAATGGATGTATCAACGAGAGGTTGTGATTATCAGCAGGGATTCTTCTTCCCATCACAACATTTAACTCGATCGATGGTATGTTGGTGATTCCTAGCGTCTCTTGCTTTGTTTCTGGGGAAAATCAAGAGACGAGTGTTTTGCGTTAGTTAAGTCATAGGTGCGGTTGGAGTCGTGCCAAATCGATTACTTCAAAATAGAAAACGAGAGATTGGTTTACGTTTTCCATTATTGTCGCATCAAGGTAGCCTTTCATCTTAGCAACGCTACAAATGTGACAAGTCACTCATATACGTCCTCTCTGCTTTTGCAAACAAAAAATTACTATTGAGTCAGTCTTAGTTACCAATTTGGATATCTTTAATTTATTCATCTATTCACACATTCACATATATTTGCCCATTCATTAATATTATGTTCACAGCATGTGATATCATATATTCATAATTAATTATAAAATTATAGATTCATATATTTATTTACTCCTTTTCCCCGCACGCATCATTTATGGAATTCTATGGACTCTCTATTTTTTTCATAATTAATTATTTTTGTCCTGCTTCTACCCTCGAGTAGATGATATTCAGAGTCATTGAAATCATAAAGTTTGGTTAAGGTATAATAAAGTTTTCTAACAATGTAAAATTATTTCATTTCAATTCAATCGTTAGCTAAAATCCTTCTCCTTTATAGGCATAATGTAATTGATCTATTTTACCGGAAAAAGACAAATATTTTTTTTGGTATGTATACAAGTATATACTGTAATGAAAGAATAAAGTCACATTAAATGACATATTTCACATATTTTTTCAAAAAGACTTGTACACACTTATACTCTATCTATAGGTATATATATATATATAGATGTGTGTGTATGGTGGATGCAATGATGTATGTTACATAAATAGGAAGACGACACGTTGAATTGGAAAAGAAATAGAACACGTGGGCCTTTTCTTGTGCTTTATTTATCAATTCAATTATAGTTCATTTAGCTTAGCACTCAGTACTTCTATAGTCCATTTAGAATGAATCCGTAAATACCTACAGGAGAATTTTTATAGCTTTTGGTTATCCGCTTAAAAAGACATTTGAATAAAGTATAGAGAAAGTGATATCATATGTTCAAAGGTTGCCTTTTTGTCTTGTTTTGTTGTTGAAGGTAAGTGATAAAGAGATCATTAACCCAAAATAGAGGACAGCTTCCATAGAAGCAACTTCAAGAAGGTTTGTGTCTTTTACGGTAGCGATTCTAGTAACAGACAAGTTTTCAACAACGCTGCGATTGATTTGGATCATGAATTGGTCAATTGTTCTGCATCATACTCGTTTATTTTATTATGGTCGTAGGGCACGTGTAACACCCTCAAATTTACAGACTGATTTTTCACAAGTTATTAATTTAACAAATCTTTTTTTTTTTTACTTTTTTTTTCATTGAACCCTTATCATGGTAGAAAAATTTCTACCATGATACATCCAAGACAATATACCACAGGTCTTAAAATATCTCAAAAAGTAATTAAAACCATGAGGGACAGACATGATCCTCATAGCATGTTATTCAAATCAGATCATAAATCAAGAGGGATAGACATAATCTTCTTGGTCATATAAATACTTTTAATAAAAAGGATTAGAGTTTACATGCTTCACAAAGAAGATATGTCCTAAGTTGGCACAAGATACATTGTATAATCTAAAATAAGAGGCAACGTAAAAGATGGTGTCTCATACACCACAGTTACACCTCTGGTGCTTTCTCGGCCGAACTCACTTCTGTAAAAATATTAACCACGGGGAATGAGACTTAAAAGTCCCAGTAACCAAAAATTAATATGTAATGATGCATGCGGATGTAACTAATCATGCGATTGCTAAGTGGGCACACAAAACATTTAACCGAACAATACTTTCAAACAAACCGAACAAGTATTTAATTTGCATGACTGCACCTTATATCCTCCTTTCGCCATGCTCGGACGCCAAATCACCCGGCCAAAGGTGAGTTGGACCAAGCGACACGCCACTCATTGGGTCCAATGAGGGCTTACCATGTGGTAATAATTAACCGAATAGAAATTCCCATTAACACCATACATTAAATACCCTGACAAGTCATGCATCATTCAAATATCCAAACATGAATATATCCGAACAATAATATCTCATTATGATAAATAAAAATAAAATTTTTTAACCCACTTGGCAATAATTTCAAACAAGTATATACAGTATTTATTTTCAATACTTCATAATTTTTCCCAAACAACAAAACAACACATAACCATTCACAAACACACCCATCACAACACATTAATAATGGTTACCTTGTGTCTTGAATAACAAGTTCCCCTTCACAAACTCCTTTTTCACCACTATCTTTGTCAATATAATCTACATAATTATTTCACAATACTATATATTAATTTTACATTAAAATAAATAATTTTAATTTAAAGAGTTAGAAAGTCTTAGATCTATAATCCATATTAACACTAATTTAAGATTTATGCCTCATTTAACTTCCCAAATTCTTTTCTAAAATTTTCGTACCCTAATAAACTATTTTAAGCCTTAAATTACTTCTAGTATCACAATTTCATCCTTCTATATTCTAAAAATTCGTCCAAAAATAAATTAAAAATTTCATAATTATCCTGAAGCCTCAAATCACCTTTCTATAATCTCAAAAATACCTATTCATACTTAAATAAATATTTAATAATTAGAGGTTTATCCCTACATCTCAGATTCTACATAAATTCAACCATATAGATCTAGATTTTAACTCAAAAATTCTTAAACATGAGTTTCAACCTCAAGAAAATATTCTATAATATTTATTATATCCTTAAGAGTTTTAACCTATATTTTTAATCCATCATATCATCAGATTAACTATCCTATAGAAAAAATCTTAATTAAAATATTTACTCTATCCTACAAAAAAATCATATCACTAGAAAGCTAATATTATTTAGAAAATAACTATAAAATTAATGTTGTAATTAAATAAATTTTTAAATGCTAATCTAAATAGGAAAGTTAGAACATACCTGAAGAAAAAGAAAATAATCTCCCCTTGTAAGAAGACGTCGAGCAACGTGAGAGGAAGAGAGAAAAATAATATAAAAATGGGATTTTGGATCCCATAATTATATTAAAAAAAACTATAGGTTTGAATTTAATTATTCAAACTCTTGGGCCAAAAGTTGCAATTTCCTCTAAATTGCATCTTAGCCTCTCATGCTTCCTAATGCACACACCCCCTCCTTTTTATACATGAAGGCACCTCTTCTCTTCCCTCATCTAACCAATGTGGGACTTAGAAACAACAACCTTCTACCCCTTTTTTTTTGTTCCTTCTACCTTCTCTTTTTTTTAACACACATAAAAAAATTATTTATGTATTATATCTTAACTAAATATTGCTTATGTGGTTTTAAATTTAAATTTTTAAATTCATAATTAAATACCTAACCATAATATCATTTCTAAATAACCTCAAATAATATAAATTCTTATTATTATCATTTGTTTTTCTCAAAACCTAAATTCCACAATTTCTTTATTATATAAAAATCAGGATGTTACAGCACGTACTGTGTGATTTTAGTTCATTTTCTATATATAGGATTTTCATCATTTTATAACAGTGTTTACTATGTAGATGGTGATGATAGCTAAACTTGTTTCGTTTAGTAGAGACCGTTAAATTACCTTGTAGTCAACATATGCTTAACAGGTTCACATATGTACTTCTAATACTCTAGATAGGAATTTTGATATGCTGAACTAGACTTAGGGTGTTCCTCAGGTCTGGTGTCAATGCCTAAACAGAGTTCATTATTATGGGTTTTGTGGTTTTACAATGTAGTTTAACTTACAGGTTAAGAGGAAGATAAATGTGGATTATGGAAGGGCTAATGTTGGACTAATGGGCACAATTTCTCAGAGGGTGTATGATGGAGGTTGTCGAGTCCTTGGGTATGCCTAAATCGATATCCTTTGTAAATTGTAATGCTTATTGAGAATGATATGTTCATTTTCTTCTGTGCGCGTGATGGTATTGATCACATTCTGTCATTTGTATTGCTTATTTCTCTTATATTGTTTCTCTCGTGACATGCAGGATCATCCTAAAAGCTCTCGTACTTGTTGAGGTATTTTTGCTACTATATCTATGTAATTATTACCACTAGCGATCCGTTTGGTTTTATTGATCTTTATTTCCTAATACAGTTAAATGGATCATTTATAAAGAATTGGTTCTTATTGTTCTGTGAGCTTGCTTTTTGGATTCATATTATGATGATACCATAACCCAGCTTTTCACGTAAGTAGTCTGAACAAATTATAGGAGCATCTCTTAGTCATGGAAGAAATCCATAGCTTACTTTTATCTGAGTATATATATATTTAGCTAATTTTTATAAGAATATGGAAACTTTAACCAAATATTTGAAGAATCAATCAATGAAGTAAGAATAGTTTCATATATACATGAGCGTAAAGCGATAATAGCTTGAGAGGCTGAAGCATTTATTGCTTTCCCTAGTAGTTACCTGAACAATCCTCATTAATATTCTTTGTGAATGCTGCTAGAAATTTTTCTTTGATGTACTGAAATTTATTCTTATCTTATTGATGTTCTTAATATAAAATAATGATTTTATGTCTTTCCTTAAAAAAAAGGAGGATATGGAACTATGGAAGAGCTGTTAGAGATAATAACTTAAGCCCAACTTGGAATTCATAAAAAGTCAGTAACTTGATGTCCTAATAGTTAAAATTAAAATCCTTAATATACCAATCAATGTTAACTAAATATGATTCTACGCAAGTTGGTCTACTGAATGTTGATGGTTACTATAATTGTTTGCTCGCATTATTTGACAACAGTGTTAGCGAAGGCTTTATTAAGCCTTGTGCTCAGAATATAGTTGTTTCAGCTTCAACGGTCAAGGAATTTATGATAAAGATAGAGGTACTACCATGACTTATGCGTGCAAAGATATATTAGATTTAACATTGTACTTATAGGCTTTAGATACTGTAAGTTCCAAACCTTTTTACTTAAGATGCTAGTATGTTGAATTCTTCCGGTGTAGCATTATACTCCTATGTATGAACACGTCACTCCTTGTGAGAGGTGGTAGATGGAGTGAATAAATAGTACTAAGGACAAGAAAATGCAAAATGAGGCTTTTATTAGCCACATGTCCTCCTCGTGAATTGATTCCTAACGTGACTCTTCATCATTAGAGCTGTGTAGATGGGGTCTTTTATGTTTGTCCACAAATGCAGTGTATACCATGCTCTTTGTGAGTGGAGTGCTAGTATAAGTGCCTTATTGCTTTACACCATTTTTTTCCAATAAGTTGATAGTTAAATCACTGTTCAGGAGTCATATCTCTCTGGTTGTTGCCACTTATCAAAGGGTAAATATGCTACCAAAATGTAAAGAGATGACAAGTACTTCCTAAGCAGAATCTTACTTGTTTATAGTGGGTGGCTATGGCTCCACTATATAGTGGCTTACTTGGAAAACATAGGTTAATCAAGGGCAACCTAGACTTTTAGTGAACATGATTACTTTCAGGTACTCACTAAGGCTATATATATATATATATATATATATATAATAATGATAAAAGATGAAATGGAAGAGATAATTTACCATGATTTCGAGTACGAAAGCATCTCCAAATGCATAAAACAATGATTCCATAATTCTCTCTCCCAATACATCAACTCTTCTTGCTATTTAAAGTGGATTATTAGCCTAAATGAAAATATAACAAGATTCCTTTCAAAAAAAGAAAAACATAATAGAATTGCTATGCAAATGACACTTTTATCTATAAAAAAAAACACCAAAAGTTAATCCCAATATCAACAGCTTGAATGGAAGCCGCTGTCATTATATGAAAAGCCAATTTTGGGAAAGTTTTTATGTTCTTCCATGGCTAAGTTCCCAGTTGTTAAGAAATATGTTCAGACATGAGATGTTGAAATTGATTTAGCACATACTGGTGTGGTTAGCTGAAGAAAGCCTTCCTTTATCTCCATTTCTTCTCTATTAGGTAAGATAGTTCTTCTTCTTGATATCAAGACTTGAGGAGGATACTTTCTTCTTCTTGATGCTAGTTTGTGGGAGGTTCAAGATTGCCTATATTAGATATCCTCAAAAAATAGTGAAAAGATAGTGCAACTACTACTTAACAAAATATACGTGTTTTTTAGGGAGCTATATGCTAGAGAGAATATCTATTACTGTTAGTAAGTTTTGTTGATCCAATGATTTATAGGTAACATTTTATCATGGGAATGGGAACATGATAGTTCTAGTGTTTTCTAGTAGAAAGTTGGCCATATTGGAGGTGCCAAGTACATCTGACATGAATTTCTTAAGAAGCTAGTTTCCCTAGGAAAGGATAAGACCTATATTAGTGCCCTCTTTTCCCTTTAATTAGTCCTTTATTGTCTCTTGAGGTCTTTTCTCACTGCAAGAATAGACTGCCTTCATGTCTCTTGGCCCCTTATAATTTCACTGGGGGGAAGACACGAGTCTCAAGTCTCATGATGCTTTTAGGATTTTTCAACAAGGTATTTGTCTTTCTTGCATCATGGAATCTTCCACCACTGGTAGCATCATTGTTCCTGTCCTTGTTGTTTGGTCTAATCAGGCAGAGTAAATGGCTATTACTTGCTCTGATGGGGCCCTCTTCTGTCGTTTCTCTTTTGTTTACTAGACCCACCATGAAGGTTTTGCACAACTATTTAGTCTCTTCCCTCTTATCTCTATTAGCTTTTTAGACACACATTTCTTTATTGCCTTTTGCATTTGTATCTTTCTTGGCTTTTAGCATTACTAAGATTCCATTGCAATTGAAGCTGCCTTCATTTTCTTGCTTATGGTCCTCGTCACCTACCATTTCATGTTGTTGATCAACAGGCTACAACCCTAACTGCTAGAGTTGTTAAGGGATTGAAATTATATTATTAATCCATAGTAGCAAAAAAGACATGCAACACTGTCACATTTTCTTATTAGAAAAGAATGGAATGAAATGGAATTGATTGAACAAATAAAAGTAAAAACAAGATTATCAAAGGAAATAAGTAGGTATATTCATAAGAGAGGTAATTTAGTTCATGGGGTTGAGAATCATGATTTATAAAATTTTTGGAAGATGTGATAATTTTCACATTTGTACTATATATTAATGAGTTTTATCTTGCTTATCATAGGAAAATGATGATTTAGCTCATTTTTATCTTATTTTGTCAATCTATTTCATTCTATTTTTTCTAATAATCAAATGGGATCTAAATGTGGGTAATTGTGTGTTTGGATAATATTGTAACTTAGGTTGGGATGGTAAAAGCTATCAAAATTTTATTTGGATTTAAAAAAATTGAACGAGTATTAGGAGAGAAACGAGCGTTTTCAATGAAGCTGCTAGATAGAGCTTTCTACCAAGCATTGGTAAACATTGGGAGTGTTTTAATGTTTTATCAGTCTTCTCTCTCTTTAATCTTCAGTAGTGCTCAACTTTACTTTACCTTAGGCTTCACGAGTCAACTCTGACTGGAGATTGTGTTTGCCACCGTTGTAGTCATCTGATCTTCCATCAACTATGTGTTGCTCCCCTACAGCATCTGAGTTTACTAGTCATCGTCCCTTCTTTCTTCTTGCATTTGCTTGCCTACCATATTCATTGCTTCATACCACTCACCCATGCAACAATCTTGAAAGCAAAGCATCTCTAGAAAAATGGCATCGTCTGCTTCAGCTATGCGGCCATCGAAGGCCGACGTGCTTTCCCGTTTTTGTCCAACACCTATCTTTACTCTTTTCCTTGCATTGCTGATCACTAGTTGCTTTTCACCTTCCTCTACCTTCAATCTTTGCAAGCTCATTTTTTACTCTTCCTCCTCGTCACTGTCACTGACCTTAACTGTGCTCATTGTTGATGTTCGAGGATGGTGAGGCCGTCACTATTTCTTTCTTTTCGTTGAGACCCTGTTGCTCTCCGTTCATCCTTGCAATCAGAGATATGGAGGAAGAACTTGACATGGATGAAATGAGAATAACCTATAAGGAATGGTGGGGACCACGAACAATAATAATGCTTATCCCATAGTGTCACATGCAAAAGATAGAGTGCAGAAGATACTAATACAAAAGGGTGGGTGTTTTTCTTGTTCTTTTTTTTT